TTCATAAAATAGTCCTGTTTATATTCAGCACTTTCCTTCAGAACATTGGGACAATAGATAAATTTGTTTGAGTGAAAACTGAAAATTGACTCAAATTTTGTCTGTTGGCTCCAAAAATTAGGGTTTATTTCCAGAAATAATTGAGAATAAAAGGAAAAATTACAGGAAAACTTTGGGCAAGAAAGTATGGTTGACATGCATGCAGATTTATAAACACACTAAATACAATATAAATAGAATAAACTTACATTAATCAGTAGTCATGCAAGTCTATATGTAAAATACATACAGGTAGAGCTGACAAGATTTGGGTTAAAGTAGCCAAGTACAACAATGATGTAGGTAATTGATATACTAATTATGCAAATTAGATAATTAATATTCATAGACCGAGTACTGATCATATCATTGGAACACAGATCCAAATAGGGTAACCACGGTGACTTGAGAGTAGCAATTTAATTTAAGCACAAAAGAACATTCTATTTCAACTATCAGTATGAAAAAAGTTGAGTGATCTAAGGGATTCCTGTCCTGTATTCAGAAGGTACTCCAAGGACCAATACAACTGTCAGTTGAAGTTGTATTGTTGGCAAAACTCGATTGCCTGTCTTGTTTCATGCTCTAAATGAATGAAAAATAAGGCAACTAATTCACTATATCACTTGTAGGTTTAAATTTCCATGTACAAAGTGAAAGAGCCACGTACTGTACAGTACTATTAGAAGTACTATTTAAAGTAAAATTACAACAGATAACTGCATAACTAAGGCATACAGTACAGTTCTTGCGGAGGCTTTGGCTTTTGTGGCATCATTGTCGCCTACGCATGGCTTCATTGTCGCCTCAGCATCGCATCCTTGTGGCATAAGCTTCGCGTCATTGACAATTGAAGCAGTGTTCGCCTCTTATTTTGTGGCATCATCGTGGCCTCAGCTTCACAGTCGCATGGCATCAACTTCAAAGTATTGTGACACGAGTATGATCTCATTATTTTCACATGGAAAGGCAGTAGAGAAAAACACATGTACAGAAGTTCGATATGTAATCGATTTGAAATTCAAAGCGGTAATGGAAATAAAATAATGTGACCAAGAGTAAAATGACATTTTAAAAAGATACCTTGTTTAATTTATTTAATGTTGCGAGTATTGAGTATCAAAAACTATGACGAGTGTCATATTGACTGCAAGGAAAAACGTGATAAATTTAAATCACACGATGCAATCGTCGTTCGGAAACAACACAATTTGCTATACGAAATGAAACTGTTCTTGTTATAAATTTACCTTATTTGCTGGTAAGAGAACAGATTCAGATTCCTCATTTTGGTGGTATTTTTCTGTGTTTCGTTTAGTTTTAGCCGAGTCTGATTCCATGCCCGGACTACTAATACATGCAAAACACGCGAACGCCGCCTGGTGCATCAGAGTTGTCGCCTGCCATCTTGATACAAAGTTCCAAAACAAGTGCGTACATTTCCAACTATGATTGGATGGTTGTGGTGGCGTCGGTCTGGTAAAATTTTACATCCAATTTTCAAAATTAAGTCACGATCAGTGACCTGAGCTCAATCTATACGTACTTTAAAAGTATTCTCACAAAAAAATATTTTCGAATAAAAACGAGCCACAATGAACAATGTCTACACTGGTAATGCGTGCTGATTGCTTTTGTAACTTTAATAGTTTGATGGAATTGCCAGAAGTGTTGAAAAGCATTTTGCTGGGCAGAAAGATATTACACGTTTAGTACTTACTCATATCATCAAATTTGAACACTTTGGTTCCTATGTCTAGATTTCCATCATTGTCTGTGTACTGTGTTACTGCTATAAACAACTCGCCGTCAATTTCAAATGTACAAATATCTTGGGCCGAGTATAACCAAGTTTTAGCAACACGGTCAAAGTAAGCACCAGACCAATGAAAAACCCTATAAAAAAATGTATAATTTGTTAGATCAACAAGCATGTACATTTTATCCCTTGAAGATGGTACATTATGCAATTTCTCATCTACAGCTGTCAAAATTAGCTTAGGAGGGGAATGTGCGATTCAATTGGGGAGGGCTGGAGGGTAGAGGTGGTCATACAAAAGAAACTCTGAGCATGTCCAGTATACTATTTGAATTCAGGGACTGTTGACATCTTAACGTAGCAAAATAAAGTGGAGGAGTTGAAAATAGATACAGTGCATCTATTACAAATTTGATACTGCAGTCAGCTCACTTCTCAACTAGAAAATGAAATTTCATCACATCTACACAACTATGACACTGAATATTCAGGACTCTGAATATACATGCGTATACCGGGTAATCTATGTACAACACCAAGAAATGAGATAATTGTTTACTTACTCTAACTTGTTTCTGTGCCTGGCATAAAAGTCAGTCCGGGAATTAGCAACAAATAGATAAGTCTCCTGATTGAAGACTGTAATCTCAAAATCAGTCGCACCATTTGTATACATCTCCTGAAAGACCGTGAACTCTGGCGAACTGGATGTGTCAAATTTATAGATTGTCGAGATGATATCATGTCTATTAGCAGCATTATGATTCTTGGCAACTGCAACATAAGTAGAGCCATCAAGGTGGACAACTTCAATATCAGCCACACCTTGGATATCCAAGAATATGCCAGTATCTTCAAAGGCTTCGCTTGTAGTGTTGTAAACGTAAACCATTGAGTGAATATCACCCATAGTAGCTTGAGGGACGTCTCCCACAATCAGATAATCCTTGCCACCAAAAGTGAAGTGTTCAACCGTGGAGCCATCAAAATGTAGGGGACTTGACTCTAGGATATCGGAAAGGAACCATTCTCTGACAGTTGCTTCTGTAAAATGTATTTAACAGTATAACATGTTTATAATTGCAATCAGAATCAATATATATTATTGTAGGATAAGAGAACTAAATAACATAAGCTATATAAACTCTTACGTTGTACATTTCTTCTCTGCCTGTGTCTATGCATTTCAAAAGATCTATGCAGTTCAGTCTTAAATTCATTCACTTTTTCATCAAGGTATGTGGCAAGGTGGTTTTTTACGTCTGATTTAAGAACAGGCAAGTTAATGACTGAACAACTGCTTGCAGAGAGCTGAAGCAATACTATCCAGGC